TTTTATATATAAAAAAAAATAAAGATGGGTAAACCTTGGCAGCTGTTAGCTCTTTCTTTGGGTGGCTTCCTCTGACAGAAGGCTTCATTTCCTAGAAGGCTGCATTGCTTCCCAGGCCTGCATGCTGTTACAGATCCTGCAAAGTCCAGATTGCTGCTAATGAGGCACCAGCAGGGAGCCCGCGTGGCCTGCAGGTGGTATGTGCTGTGGGCAGGGATGTGCCAGAGGAGATCCTCATGGCCCTCGGGTGCCTGTGTGAGCTTTCTGTAATGTTTCTCTAACTCCACCCACACAGCTGCCCCCAAGGACTATGTGGAGCGTCGCTGGCAGAAGCTTTGGGGGCACTCCCGTTCCCCAGCTTCGGCTGGAGGAGTGGGTGCTTTGGCTGTCATCCAGTTGTAGGCCGTCAGCTGGGCAGCAGGTGGAACCCCAGTGGGGGGCGTGCAGTCTGTGCCCTCGTTCTGTGGGCGTACATATTCATGCGGAGGCCACTGGTCTGATTTTCAGAGTGGAGGACTTCAGGATAGGACTGACTGACCTAGATTTTCTTCTGTGATTGGCACTGTTTCCTCCTGCCCTTTCTCCAAACACAGCTGTCCCTGGAGAAGACCACCGCTTTCAAAGCTTTTCCGGATTCCTCTTGCCCTGCCCGGGCCCTTGGTTCTCCCTTGGCAAACTCTTCTACCTTTTCCATGGGGGCCATTCCCAGGAGACGGTCTGAGACCTGCATGTGTTCACAAACACCCGCCCCCCAACAGGGCTGGTCCTCCTCCCTTCTCAGGCCGTCTCCTGCTTCAGAGGAGAGGACAGCCAGTTGGTGCACCTTTCACAAGAACCAGCCACTGGCCACTGCATCTGCAGGCCCTGTCGTGTGTAATATCGCAGCCCGGGCGCTCAGGAGTCTGTCCCATTTCCCATGTGTGAATTCAGACCCAGGAGTTCAGTGACTTGTTAGGGACCCTCCGCGTGGGAAGGGCAGAGCAGGAATTGCCATCAGACATCCTGACTGCAGCCTGGGTTCTGCCCGTGCCCCACCCCCTCTCGAGGGGCCGGAGCAGCACCTGCTCCGTCCTGTGCAGCGAGGACTTGGGGCTGCACCCGCAGGGAGAGCAGTTGTACTCGGTGCGGTTAAGGGTCTTCTTAAAGCCACTTCTCTGCAGAGGCCCATCATCACAGGCTTCAGCAGCCGGGGGAAGAGAGATACGGAAGGCATTTACCCCTGCAAGACCGCCTGGGAGATTTGGGGTTGAACTTTCCCCAAGACGGCAGGACCCGGAGTCAGGAGAAGCACGGGACAGATCCACTCTGCTTCGTCTTTCACCGGGAGACCATGAGGCTCCCGTGAGGCTTCGCTGTGAGCCACACTGTGCCTCTGCAGGGACGGGAAGGCTAGGGACATCAGCGGAGATGTTGCGAGGTCCCTGATTCTGGGGCCAGGTGTCCTTTCAGGGCCTTTGTGATGCTGGCAGAGGAGCAAGCGGGGGTCAGTTCCCAACTGGGTGCGAGTGCGATGGCAAGCCACCAGCATCAACTTCTTTGTAAAAAGGAAAAACAAAAGCAGAGAAGTAGAGCCCTGAGTTCCAGAATGACCTGCAGGACCCGGGGGACACTGACCAAGGAGGGCGAAGAGACCTTCCCAGACACCTGAGTTTTCTGCCTGTGGCATTTGGCATTTTCCTGCTGTAGAGGTGGGGACAGGCAAAACTTGATCTTTTCATGCAGTGCTACCAAATCAACCTGCATCCCTAGGTCTTGATCACTGTTACCTTTTGTGCAGTTTCCTCTAAGGTCATTCTGATAATCACACTGGATGGTAGATGTGTAGGTATACTGCATACCTGTAGGCGGCTTTTCTGCAAGGTGATGGACAGTTGCCAAACTGTTTTTAACAGTCAGTCAATACCAGGATTCGCTGCAGTAACATATACCCCAACACCATCTACTGTGCCTTCACACACAAAGCTACAACCTAAGCACTGTGTGTCGGCTGGGCGCTTCTCGCATTGTCCTCCCTCGGGGATCAGAGCTGGGGGAGGTTTCATCCTCCACAGTGTGGAGGCAGAGAACAGGGAACATGTAAATTGCACCCTAGTTTCCATCTGGAAGTGACATATGTCATGTTGCTCACATTTCAGTGACTCAAGCAAATCACGTCGCCCCACCTAACTTCTCGGCAGCTGATTAAGTGCCGAGAAATAGAATCAGAAATATTTCGCAAACCACCCTGTGACTATTACAACAGGCATTATCGTTGCGTTCTCTCTTCTGTCCTGGTTTAAAATTTGTAATTTTTACATGGTGTAAGCATAGAGATTTGCCTATCCCGGTTTGTTTGGTGCATTTTATGTACGTGATTTCTGACCGCTCTATGACATGGATGATAAATATTTTTTCCCTTCTCGGCAAAATCTTCAAGGTGAGTGCACACCTCCCCTCCTGTGAGATTTCCGTCTCCCACCTGGAAGCCACCTCTTAGGTCTCTGAGGCCCTGTAGGAACTCTGCCATCCCTATTGTGTGAAAAACTTGGAGAAGGACAGGGAAGCCCAGGCAACTTCAGAGGAAAGTAGTTGGTTGAGGAATTTCAACGCCCCGAATGAAATTTATTTCTTCTGGAACCATCACTGTCAGCTGTGCCCTGCTGAATTATCCTTCTACTGTGCAGCAAACTCCTTGGTGACACCCCAGGCTGCTCACATGAATTCCTGGTCACCTCAGTTACTTACGAGCTCAGTTGCATCCGATTACAAAGCCTCAACCTCCCATTTGGTTTCGGTCTTTCTCCCCTCCCTGCCCTGGCCCCGGCTTGTGCTGGTTCCATGGGTTCTAGAGGAGATCAGCAGGGCTACGATTGGGCTCTGAGTCACTTCTGCCTCTGCTTCACCACAGCTCCGCTCTTCCGAGGTGCTGGGGTCAGGAGGCGGGGAAGGGAAGCGCAAGGGCTGCAGCCTCACAGTTCTCAGTGTGTCGCGGCTGTCCTTCCACAGCCTGTCAGGTGTCCATGTGCTGGTCCCTGTTGGGGCGCATGTCAGGCCCCAGGGTGCAGCCTCCCCATCATGGATGCCCATTGTGTAGGGCCTTGATGTGGGCAGTGCTCGGGCTTGACCTGCTCCACCCTTCCTTACAGCGATAGGCCCCACACCCGCTTTGTCCTAGGGACTTAGCCTTTGTTCTTATGCAGAGAATATGCCTGTGCCTGGCCTCCTTTCGGGGTGTCCATTCACATCCCAGCCATGCCAGATACCTTCCCGCTTCGCTCTGCGTCTCTCATTCTGTTTCCTTCAACAGGTAGAGGCTGATCAGCAAGTCTGCTGCCTTGCAGGTGTCCAGCTGGGA